ATGTAGAACTCAGTCTTCTTGGAAAGAAAAAAAGAGGCTCCGGGTTGACAAATGGTGGGGTAACCGAAAGGAACGGGCTACCGTTCGGACTATTTGTAGTCATGTACAGAACATGATCAAGGGTGTTACGCTGGGCTTCCGGTACAAGATGAGGTCTGTGTACGCTCACTTCCCCATCAACGTCGTTATCCAGGAGAATGGGTCTCTTGTTGAAATCCAAAATTTCTTGGGTGAAAAATACACCTGCAGGGTTCGAATGAGACCAGGTGTTGCTTGTTCAGTATCTCAAGCCGAGAAAGATGAATTAATCCTTGAAGGAAATGACATTGAGCTTGTGTCAAATTCAGCGGCTTTGATTCAGCAAACTACAACAGTTAAAAACAAGGATATCCGGAAATTTTTGGATGGTATCTGTGTCTCTGAAAAAGGAACTGTTCAGCAGGCTGATGCGTAAGACCTTAGAGTTGCCCAGCTACAGAAACAAGAGGCTTATCATAGCTAAGACCTTCATGTGATACTTAAATGATGCAATAAAAGACCTATTAATTTGGAAAAAAAATTAGCTGGGCATGGTGGCGCGTGCCTGTAATCCCAGCTACTCAGGAGGCTGAGGCAGGAGAATTGCCTGAACCCAGGAGGCAGATGTTGCGGTGAGCGGAGATCGCACCATTGCACTCCAGCCTGGGTAAACAAGAGCAAAACTCCGTCTCTCTCTCTCCCTCTCTCTCTCTCTCTCTCTCTCTCTCTCTCTCTCCTCTCTCTCTCTCTCTTTCTCTCTCTCTCTCTCTCTCTGTCTCTCTCTCTCTCTCTCTCTCTCTCTCTATATATATATATATATATGGAAAATATAAAAACATGATATACTATTGCTGGGCATGGTGGTTTACACACTTCAGGAGGCTGAGGCAGATGGATCACCTGAGGTCAGGAGCTCAAGACCAGCCTGGCCAACATGGTGAAACCCCATCTCTACTAAAAATACAAAAATTAGCTCGGCGTGGTGGCCAGTGCCTGTAATCCCAGCTACTCAGGAGGCTGAGGCAGAAGAATCACTTGAACCCGGAAGACGGAGGTTGCAGTGAGCTGAGATTGCACCACTGCACTCCAGCCTGGGCAAAAGAGTGGGACTCTGTTTCAAAAACAGAAAAACGAAAACTAAACAAAATCCCCATAATTTATTACAAATGTATGAAGCAGTAACTTAGTTCATATAATGCAATAACAGCAGAGTAATTGCCTTAGTCCATTTTGTGCTGCTATACAGGATACCTGAGACTGGGTAATTTATAGAGAAGAAAAATTATTGCTTCACATTCTGGAGGCTGGGAAGCCTAAGATCAAGGTGCTGGCATCTATTGTCTGATGAGGGCCTTCTTGCTCCTCATGTGGCAGAAGACAGAAGGCAAAAAGGAACCAACTTCCTTGAGGGGGGGGTTCTTTTAAAATGGCATTAATTCATTCATAAAAGTGGATTCATTATGACCTCCCAGAAAGCTCCACCTGTCAGTACTGTTGCCTTAGGGATTGAGTTTCCAACCAATGAATTTTGGAGGACACATTCAGACCACAACAGTAACCACAATACACCTCCACCACAGACATTAGGTACTTACAAAGTCTTAAGCTCGGTTGCGGCAGGGCACGGTGGCTCACGCCTGTAATCCCAGCACTTTGGAAGGCCGAGGCGGGTGGATCATGAGGTCAGGAGATTGAGACCATCCTGGTCAACATGGTGAAACCCCGTCTCTACTAAGAATACAAAAAATTAGCTGGACATGGTGGCGTGTGCCTGTAATCCCAGCTACTTAGGAGGCTGAGGCAGGAGAATTGTCTGAGCCCAGGAGGCGGAGGCTGCGGTGAGCTGAGATCGGGCCATTGCACTCCAGCCTGGGTGACAAGAGCGAGACTCTGTCTAAAAAAAAAAAAAAAAAAAAAAAAGATCTGTTGCACTTAAAATGTGTTAGCCTTTTTACTTGGAGACAATTAACATCAATAATAACAGAGATAAACAAACCAATGTTCTAGTGGAAATCATTCTGGGTTTGTTAGACAAAGACCACAACTTGCTTCGGATGGTCTCAGTTGCTTTCCTGGTAAAGCTTTGTAGCATGGCCGTTGGTTTTGGTTTGGTTCATCCAACTGACAGACTTACATTTCACTTTCCAAGGTGGCCAGAGACAATTCCAATAAGGATGAAGATAAACAGACTAATTGTCTTTTAGAAATCTTTCCAGGTGTGTTCACCAAAGACTGGATGTCCCGCTATCACCCAACTTAACACAGCCCCTCAAATGGATGCTAGTGACTCAGCCTTTTTTTTTTTTTTATCACACCATCATTTTGAAACCGAGAAATCTTACTTCGTACTCTAACTCATCACTCTACTTCAATCTCAGTTCCTTTTTTTTTTTTTTTGAGACAGTCTCACTCTGTCACCCATGCTGAAGTGCAGTGGCGTGATCTTCACTCACTGCAACCTCCACCTCCTGGGTTCAAGCCATTCTCCTGTCTTGGCCTCCTGAGTAGCTGGGATAGTAGGCACCCACCATGATGCCTGGCTAATTTTTGCATTTTTGTAGAGATGGGGTTTCATCATGTTGGTCAGGCTGGTGAACTCCTGGCCTGAGGTGATCCACCTGTCTTGGCCTCCCAAAGTGCTGGGATTACAGGTGTGAGCCACCAAGCCCAGCCCAATCCCAGTTTCTAATCATAGGATCACACAATATCAGAATTGGAACACAATTTTTAATTTAGTCAAGCATCTCACACCAATTCCCTTTCTCTATGGTTTTGTACCCTCCATTGTCCTAACCAACTTGCTCTGTTTGCAGGTCAGTGACTGTGGGGGTCACTGCTCTAAACAATGGGGAGTTTATGGCATGTGGTGTTTGGTGACTTCTTCCTGATACGTATTTATTAACACTTCACACTGGGCAGGTGTTTAGTCAGCTTTGTGGCATTCTAACTTGCTGATATGGTTTGGATGTTTGTTCTCTCCACATCTCATGTTGAAATGTGATTCCAGTATTGGAGGAGGGACCAGGTGGGACATGTTTGGATCATAGCGTGGATCTCTCATGAATGGTTAATGCCATCTCCTTGGTGATAAGTGAGTTCTTGCTCAGTCAGTTCATATGAGATCTGGTTGTTTAAAAGCCTGGGACCTCCCTTTTCTCACTCTCTCTTCTTCCACTCTGGCCATGTGAGATGCCTGCTCCCCCTCCCCCTTAGCCTTCTGCCATGATTGTGAGCTTCCTGAGGTCCTCCCCAAGAGCAGATGCTGGAACCATGCTTGTACAGCCTGCAGAACTGTGAACCTCCTTTCTTTATAAATTACCCAGCCTCAAGTATTTCTTTATTGCAATGCAAATAGCCTAATACAATTCCAATCCCCTTGGTACCACAACTAGATATCACAAGAAAACTTCAGACCAATATTTCTTATGAATATACATGCAAAATTCTTCAATAAAAATACTATCACATTGAATCTAGCAACATAAAAAAGGGTTATACACCATGACCAAGTATGATTTATTTCAAAATGCAAGGTTGGTTCATTACACAGAAAAATCAGTGTGATACACTATATTAATAAAATAAGGACGGAAAAAGAATGAAGTTCTGATATATGCTAAAACATGGATAAACCTTGTCTTAGCCCATTTGTGTTGCTATGAAAGAATACCTGAGGCTCAGTAATTTCTAAAGTAAACAGGTTTATTTGGCTTGTGGGTCTGCAGGCTATACTCAAGAAGCATAGTGCCAGCATCTGCATCTGCCGAGGGCCTCATGAAGCCCACACCCATGGTGGAAGGGGAAGAGGAGGAGGCATCACATGGTAAGAGAGGGGAGGGAGGTGTTAGACTCTTTTTAACAACGAGAGCTCATAAGAGCTGAATGAGAACTCAGTGAATTTCACGAGAATAACACCAACCCATTCATGAGGGATCTGCCTCATGACCCAAACATTGCCCATTTGGCCTCACCTCCAACATTGGGAATCAAATTTCAAGATGATAGTTGGCGAGGACAAACATTCAAACTATTATCAAAACTTGAAAATGTTATGCTAAGGGAAAGAAACTAGACACACAAAAAACGCCACATATATGTTTTTGTTCATATAAGATGTACAGAATAGGTAATCCTATTAAGACAGAAAGTAGATTTGTGCTTGCTAAGGGCTTGAGGAAGGAGGGATTGGGGAGTGACTGCAAATGGGGATGGAGTTTTATTTTGGGGTAAAGAAAGTATGCTGAAATGGTGCTATTATTGCATAATCTTGTGACTATACTAAAACTGCTAACTCACTGGGCACAGTGGCTCACGTCTGTAATCCTAGCACTTTGGGAGGCCAAGGTGGGCAGATCATGAGGTCAGGAGATTGAGACCATCCTAGGTAACACGGTAAAACCCCGTCTCTCCTAAAAAATACAAAAAAAAAAAAAAAAAATTAACCGGGCATGGTGGCACACACCTGTAGTCCCTGCTACTTGGGAAGCTGAGGCAGGAGAATTGCTTAAATCTGGGAGATCCGGGAGGTGGAGGTTGCAGTGGGCAGAGATTGCGCCACCGCACTCCAGCTTGGGTGACAGAGTGAGACTCTGCCTCAAAAAACAAACAAACAGAAACAAACAAACAAACAAAACCTGCTGAACTGTACATTTTAAAATGATGGATTTTTATGGCTAGTGGATTATACTTCAATAAAAAAGAACTAGCTAAGAAAAGATTCCTATAGTGCGTAGCAAAATGTTTAAGGCAAGTAGAAAGTAAAATAAATATGAGGTAATTGATAGATGACAGGAACTGTTGGAAATCTCTTTGTACACCACAAATACAGCCATCATTTGTTAGATAATAGGCGAGAAATGAGCTCCAAAGAGCTTAGTCCATGTAATCTCCAGAAAATCATGTCCCAGGAGTTGCTTTTGGTAAAGACTAAATTCTTCATGTCCAGTGCTCCCTCCTAAGCATTGTGTTAATTCTACTTTCAGCATCAGTATGACAACCTGCTCCACCGTGGCTGCCCTGGGAATGATGCCACTCTGCATCTATCTCTACACTTGGTCCTGGAGTCTTCAGCAGAATCTCACCATTCCTTACCAGAACATAGGTCTGTATGGGCCTGTGAAATGCAGGACTAACAGTAATAGTGATGACACTAATAATAGCTGTTGCTAATTGTATCACTATGCAGGGATGTTTTTTGTAGTACCTGATTTAATTCCTTAAAGAACACTACGGTATAGATTCTGTTCCAGTTCAGTCTCCTAGGTCTTCAGGCTTCAAGAGGTTTAGTAACTTGATCAAGATTATGCAGCTGGTGACTAAGCACAGTGACGCACGCCTGTAATCCCAGCACTTTGGGAGGACAAGGCAGGCAGATCATGAGGTTGGGAGATCAAGACCATCCTGTCCAACATGGTGAAACTCCATCTCTACTAAAAAAAAAATTAGCTGGGTGTGGCAGTGCACACCTGTAGTCCCAGCTCCCCAGGAGGCTGAGGCAGGAGAATTACTTGAACCTGGGAGGTGGAGGCTGCAGTGAGCCAAGATTGTACCACTGCATTCCAGCCTGGGTGACAGATCTTGAGACTTGTCTCAATAAAAAAAAAAAAAGAAAAAGAAAGAAAGAAAAAGATTATGCAGCTGGTAAGCACAGAACTGGAGTTCTAACCCAGGAATTTGACTACAAAGTGTAAACTTTTCACCCCTACAAGAGTGCATTTTTGAATAAAAAGTCAGACAATTTATTTTGAAAAAACAATAATCAAACCCTTATATAATTAGACTATGAAGCAATTTGACTCTTTATGCTTCAAGGTTTAACTGGATCTAATGGCTCTAATTAGACCTTCCTGTGACTTACCTTTCACCTTGCCTGTGAAACTTGACTTTTTCTTATAGGTTGAACATAAATAATTCTTACTTATTATTATTATTATTTTGAGATGTAGTCTTGCTCTACTGTCCAGGCTGGAGTACAGTGGCGCAATCTTGGCTCACTGCAACCTCCGCCTCCAGGGTTCAAGAGATTCTCCTGGCTCACTGCAACCTCTGCCTTCAGGGTTCAATGATTCTCCTGCCTCAGCCTCCTGAGTAGTTGGGATTACAGGTGCCTGCCACCAAGCTCAGCTATTTTCTGTATTTTTAATAGAAACGGGACTTCACCATTTTGGCCAGGCTGGTCCTGAACTCTTGACCTCATGATCCTTCTGCCTCAGACTCCCAAAGTGCTGGGATTACAGGTGTGAGCCACCACACCTGGCCCATTCTTACTGATTATTATTATTAATTTTTTTATGAGATGGAGTTTTGCTCTTGTTACTCAGGCTGGAGTGCAATGGCACGATCTCAGCTCACTGCAACCTCCACCTCCTGGGTTCAAGCAATTCTCCCGCCTCAGCCTCCTGAGTAACTGGGATTACAGGCCCGCGCCATCATGCCCAGCTAATTTTTTGTATCTTTAGTAGAGACGGGGTTTCACCATGTTGACCAGGATGGTCTCGATCTCTTGACCTCGTGATCCACCTGCCTCGGCCTCCCAAAGTGCTGGGATTACAGGCTTGAGCCACTGTGCCTGGCAATTCTTACTGATTATTAAAACTCATCCACATGTCACAATCATACTCATGTCACTTTCATGGTCTCCTCTCCTGAGTATTATTTCTCATTAAAGTCTGCCCTTGTCTTAAAGATCTCTGTGGGTTCACCAGGCTTAGAAGAGAAATGTGGTGAAATGATCTGCCTTTTCTAGTCTGGTCAGTTTTTGGAGAAGTGATAGACACTATGATTTTAAGACTCTCAGTGTCAATCTGGTGTCTCAGGTAAGCACCTTGATGGCTTACAACTCACGGCCCATGGTTCAAAACCATGAATGAAACGACTTCCTCACAACAGCTGGAACCCATTGAATTTGTAAAATTTGAGAGAAACCTTAATTTAGAAACCATGATTTTATGTGCTTTTTTCTGATCATTAAGTTAATGTATTCTGCTTTGATAATATGCTCTGAAAGGCACTCACAAACAAGTCTCAAAATGTTATGAGCAGCTTATACAACTTTGGAGCCAATATTGTAGGCATTTGTCCAGATCTGGAAAGTGGCATTGGAAAACGTCCGTTTAAAGCTGTTATCTAATTGAAATAGAAGTTGTCGAGAAGGACTGTGCAGTCAGGATGAGAGGGAAAACCCTTTGATGGATTATTCTTTTCTTTAGGAATTACCCTTGTGTGCCTGACTGTCCCTGTGGCCTTCGGTGTCTATGTGAATTACAGGTGGCCAAAACAATCCAAAATCATTCTCAAGGTGAGTGACTCCATGGCCACTGCTGGCACATCCTCAGACTCAGGGCTCTGAAAGACAGAAGTGAGCAGTGGCTGGAACAAGTGAGATTTTCCAGTACAGCCCCACACCCAGAAATTCTTACGTCCTGCGGTTTTGGATCCAGAGATCATATTTCCTCCACCCTGTAAGCCTTGCTCTGCCACTTCCATAGGCCTGTACCCTGAGGCTTTTGGCACTCTGGAAAACAAGCAGCTATTGATTTAATGTCAGAAAAGCTAAAGCCTGTGTGAAAACACAAGAGCCCAGGCCCATCCATGCACAAGGCTTCACACAGGTGCTCTTGAGGCAGAAGCAGTTCATGTGAGCATGAAATAGAGACCCGTGTTTAGGCATATGGCTGGTTCCTTGGAAGAGCAGGAGGAAGGGCTGTCTTGCAGAAGCATTCCTGGGGACACTGCCAAAGCTGTAGTTTGTACACATGAGCAAGGCTGCTGACCGCATGAATAAGATCATTTAAATAAAATCATTCAGAAAGCACTGAGGAGTCTAGCTATGGGATGATTGTGACTAGAACTTTCTACCTCCTCTTGTCTTCGCAATCTTGCCCTTTGTCTGCTTGAGAAACAAGCAAATGTCTTTGCTAAACGGCTTTTAAAAATAATTCAAGGGGCCAGCTGCAGTAGCTCATATCTGTAATCCCAGAATTTTGGGAGGCTGAGGTGGGAGGATTGCTTGAGGTCAGGAGATTGAGACTACAATGAGCCATGATCGTGCCATTGCACTCAAGGCTGGGTCAGAGAGTGAGACCCCATCTCTAAAAAACAAAACCAAAAAAATGTAGAGAGGAGGCATTCTTAACAGTGACGTCAATCTCCTAGGGCGCTTTCTATTTTTTTTTTCAGATTATGTATCACTTTAGCAGATATAAGAAAGTATGTGTGGCTTTCATGAAGATTTGAAAAATGTTTTAGTTTTATTTTACATTTACAAAGAAAAATTTGGGGTTATTTGGAGTTTCAGGTAGTAAATCTGAGTTAATTTTGTTTTGTGGTTTATGGTTTGACTCTACCTCACAGAACATTGCCACTCCATATGCCTGCACCAGTGGACACTGTTTTCCCGGTTAGGCATAAGGCTGAATAACTCCCACATTCCTTCAGTGTGATGGAGAATGAGAGGAGCAGACAAATCAGCTGGGCACAGAGAGCTGGAGGACGGCTTACTATAGTACATTTGTATTGCATGTGGATGACTTTAACATTGATAGTGCACCCTTGATTTTCATTGTCCTTTTTTCTAGCTGTACTCATGGAATAAAGTCCCATCTTTTCCACATTTACTTTTTAAAGTTAGTTAATTAATTAATTTTTTGAATAGGGCCTTCCTCTGTTACTTAGGCTGAAGCACAATGGCACAATCATAGCTCATTGCAACCTTGAACTCCTGGGCTCAAATGATGCTCTCCTCTCAAGCTCTCAGGTAGCTAGTCCTACAGGCATGCACCATCTTGCCCTGCAAATAAAAAGACATTTTTTTTTTTTAGAGACAGGGTCTTCCTGTGTTGCCCAGGCTAGTTTGCAACTCCTGGCCTCAAGGGATCCTCCTGCCTTGGCCTCCCAAAGTATTAGGATCCCAGGCATGAGCCACTGTGCCTGGCCCCTTTTCCACATTTATTATTGTTATTTCAGTAGGAGAAAATTTCCAGTGTAGTAGTTATAATTTTGTTTACAAAACAAAAGGAGGGAAATGATCACAGAAATGTCTTGCTTTTCAAGTACTCTATCTTCGATTTTTTTTTAAAGGGCATTAAGCAATAACAAAAATTATGATTTTGGAGTTTCCAGCTCTTCTATTATATTAGGCCATCAGTCAATGGAGAAACCAGATACATCTTTTTTTTTTTTTTTTTTTTTTTTTTTTTGAGACAGAGTCTTGTTCTGTTGCCCAGGAGTGCAGTGGTGTGATCTTGGCTCACTGCAACCTCTGCCTCCAGGATTCAAGTGATTCTTCTGCCTCAGCCTCCCATGTAACCGAGACTATAGGTACGTGCTACCACACCCAGCTAATTTTTTGTATTTTTAGTAGAGACAGGGTTTCACCGTGTCAGCCAGGATGGTCTAGATCTCCTGAGCTTGTGATCCGCCCACTTCAGCCTCCCAAAGTGCTGGGATTACAGGTGTGAGCCACTGCCCTAAGCCACCAGATAATTTTTTTGTTTGTTTTTTTGGAAATGAAAGGTGTCACGTATTTATTACTGAACCTAGCCAACCAAGGTGTTCATAACAGATCCAGAGAGGAAATGAGCCCATCTCTCCAGATCCTGCCATTTTCAACTTGATTTGGTAACCTGATTGTGACTTTCAGACAGCATAAATATCTGTGCCGTCTCATGTGTATTTCCTTATAGACCCAGCTTGGTTCTTCTCCAGTGTCTTCTTTTGGAGTTGTACCTGATTTAATTACCAGTTTTCATCCAAATCCACTGGGGAATTAGATGATTTTGCTTTTGTTTCTTGGCCAGGAATTGCTTAATCCTGAAAGTCTTGAGAGAAGACATGGTGAGAAGTGGGGTAAAGGACACACCGCGATGGCGGAGAAAGAGAGGGGCCCATATACACTTTTTATATGTCAGTTTTATTTTCTATAAAGAGCACATTTAAAACTCTTCTTTTGGATATTTCATAGGACTTATGGCAAAATATTTAATAATATGCATAAATATTCTAGAGCACCTTAGGAAAAAAAAACTAGGCTAATTGTTACTTTAGTATGTCTTCATTCCCTGTTCTTAGTCCTATTTTAATTTTAGATCTGACGTATTTTCTGAGCAAATTTGAGTGTTACTCATTTACTCTTGGTGGATTTTAAACTTTGGAATCTTTGGTAGAGAGAGGAAGAAGGGATGTTACATTCAGAGGCTTTTTTTTTTTAAATACAGTCTCTCTCTGTTGCCCAGGCTGGAGTACAATAGTGTGATCTTGGCTCACTGCAACCTCTGCCTCCCAAGTTCAGGCAATTCTTCTGCCTCAGGCACCTGAGTAGCTGGGATTACAGGCATGTGCAACCATGCCTGGCAAATTTTTATATTTTTTTTAGTAGAGACAGGATTTCACCACGTTGGCCAGGATGGTCTTGAACTCTTGACTTCAGGTGATCTTCTCACCTTTACCTCCCAAAGTTCTAGGATTACAGATGTGAGCCACTGCACCAGGCCAAGAGGCTTTCTTATGTTTTAGCATCTTTCTCTTAGGCGGGGTCTAGTCTGTCTCTGTATTTGAACAGTAAAAATGACCCCAGAACACATTTATGGTCTATTGGGTCATTCTGTTGGTTTGTTCTCTTCTTTACTTTCCTATGACCACCTGTCTTCACATCCTGAATCATTTAACATCAAGGTTGACACTGTAACTAGATACACAGTTTGCTATCTACATGATATGAACAGGAGCTTGCCAACATCCTGATTTTCACAAAATACCTTAGGCCATGCTTCCTTCCTATTTTATCTAAAATTCAAACTATTCGATTTTTTTTTTGTTACTGTTGGCTTTTTGTTTCTGTTGTTGTTAAACAATAAAAGTAAGAGACAGTAACTATTTGGGAGAGGAGATACTCTCCATCAGTATTTCTCATGTGATCATGAATATTAGCTCAGGTTGTCCAGTGAAGAACGGTTAAATTTTATTTGGAGGGGAGACAGGCAGGCATCAAAGCAGCAAGCAGCTGCTGGAGTTTGAAGGGGTGGTGGGAAAGGAGGCAGATGGTCAGGCGGGGCAGGTGTGAAACTGAATGTCACCAGCAGAGGGTTGTAGAGGTGTGTGCAGGGGTGTTGGAAGCTTATTGTCAGATCCCATTCACTTTACACTTTCGTCCTACCCACAAAAGACTCTACTACCCAGTCCTTTTCGCAAAAGCTTCTGCTTGAAAAGAAAAGTAGATATGCTAAAAGAAGACTTAGATTTGTTTCAAACTCCACCAATTTCTAGCATAGGCAAGTTACTTGACCACTCTGGAACTCAGATTTCTCCTATACAAAATGGAGTTGGATTTAATCATCTCCAAGTCCCTTCTTTATTCTAAGATGTCTAGATCTCAAGCATTTTACAACCTTGATGGACTTGGTATCATAGAGCCAAAAACTCTCAGTTTATACACATTTATTTTATTGTTTGCTTCAGATTGGGGCCGTTGTTGGTGGGCTCCTCCTTCTGGTGGTTGCAGTTGCTGGTGTGGTTCTGGCAAAAGGATCTTGGAATTCAGACATCACTCTTCTGACCATCAGTTTCATCTTTCCTTTGATCGGCCATGTCACGGGTTTTCTGCTGGCACTTTTTACCCACCAGTCTTGGCAAAGGTATAGTTAAATTATCCATAAACTTCTTTTCAGAAGGTAAATTTAACACACTGCCACTGGTAGGCTCCTGCCTGTGTCAGGAGACATGAAAAGTTTTACTGACATAGTGGAATGGAGCAGGATAACTAAGCATAAAAGAGGGTCATGCGTGGCAATTCATGGAAAATTTCCTGTTAATTCTTTATGTAAATTAAAGCAAAGGCCAAATTGATGGGAAGTTTTAACTTGTGGAATGAAGATTGAGGTGTTAATACAACTTGTTGAGATCTGGATATATTTCTCTTCTTATTCTAATGATTAAACAGAGGAATGAGATTATTTCACTAAATATAGGGCTCATTCTAGGGCATGAGCAAGTTCCAAGAGATTAAATCCTTATGGATTGCTGGTGCCAAATTTTTAAATAGTTGCTAATTATAAGAGGCAATAAGAGAAAAGAGACAAACTTGAGAAATAGTAGGGATTTGTCTTACGTATTATCATTCCGAATCAGGGTATATATTTTATAAAGACTGTGAAACATTAAAAATGATGTTACATGTTGGTATGCCCACAGTGAGTTGAGCATTATCCTGCAGCGATGGAGGAGACATATGTTGGTATTAACTCTCTGGAAGGCAGTTTACTGTCATATCAATTGTCTTATCAATATTTATATTGGTTAACTCAATAATTTTAATTTTAAAAATCTGTTCTGAAGCTAGCACTATTGTACATGCACACGAATATTGATGTACTAAGATAATTTAGTATTATTTATAGATCTAAAAATAGAAAACATTTAAATATGTAACAATAGAAAGATATTTCATTCCTGATGTAGCCATATAATGAATATGATGTATCAATTTTATTGATTTTTGAAAATACTCAAGAGATAAATTCAAATTAAAAAAGAATAGAAAATGGCATGTATTTGATTTCCACTTTGTTGAAGAAAGCAAAAAGAATTCCATGCATCAAAAAATACCATTGTTACACCATATGGTAACAATGTTTAATTTTGAGTACAAGATTAAGCATCATTTTAGTCCTTTAGTATTTCCTTGGTATATTTTTGAAGCTTTTCAATAAGTATGTACTGCTTTTAAAAGAAGAAAAAAATTATTAAAGAAAAGTAAACTATGTAGCTGAATTAGAAAGGTGAACATTGGGAATTTTTAAATTGGTTTCATGCTACTTCCAGTCCACTTGGGGAACATTTAGGGTTGTACTAAGCACTGGGTAAGGCTTTACCCCATCGATCTCATTTACTTCTTACTACAAGCTTGAGAAGTAGATCCGATCACTACCGTTGTTCTACTGTTGAGTAGACCCTTCAGAGAAGTTAAGTGACTTGACCAAATTCATAGAGCTAGAAAATGGTGGCGTTAGTATTTGGACCTGGGTTTGTTTCCATTCAACAATTAGGAACATCGTCTGTTAAGCGGTCAGAATGTGATTGGATCTGGATGGAAAGTGTCCTCTGGCAAGATGAAGTCCATAGTCTCATCTTGTTCATACACAATGGCCTGACAAAGATCGGGACTGAGATCTGGCTCATGAATGGTGCAGTTGTGAGTTCCAGCTTAATCATACTGAGTTTTTGACAAAAGTCTGAAAAAAGTGAGAGTGGTTTGAGGCAAGTGTAGCAAGCAATAGTGTATCTAGAAATAAAGTATGAACAAAGAGCTTGCCCTGTACCATTGACAGCATTTTCACCCCCTCATTACACACCCTTGTTACCTCCCCATTCCAGTCCAGCTTGCAGATAGATGCTTGCTTGTTTTCTGAGGCACCTCTTTTTTCTCCTCACTTCCATGTATAAAACCCTACAGACTCCCTTTATAAATTGGAGACATGAAACTGCTTACCTCAGCTCTCAAGGTCCTGCCCATGTCTTCCCTCTCTTCCCTCCTTTGTCTTTTCAAACGAGGTTTATTTCATTCTATGCTGTCAAAAAAATCATAAAATATAGGAAAATAGAAAGCAAAAAGAAAAATTATTACTAAACTCTTTCACCAAAGACAACCTTTTTAGATATTTGGTCTTTATTTAGGGTTTTTGTGTTTGTTTGTTTGCTTATTTATTTATTGAGACCTCTGTTGCCCATGCTGGAGTATAATGGCATGATCTTGGCTCACTGCAACCTTTGCCTCCTGGGTTCAAGTGGTTCTTGTACTTCAGCCTCCCAAGTAGCTGGGATTACAGGAGTGTGGCCACCATGCTTGGCTAATTTTTGTATTTTTGATAGAGACAGGATTTCACCATGTTGGCCAGGCTCGTCTTGAGCTCCTTACCTCCAGGTGATCCACCCTTGGCCTCCCAAAGTGCTTGGATTATAGATGTGAATCCACTGCGTCTGGACGTGTTTATTTGTTTTGAAGTGTTATTTAGTTTATATTGTTTCATATCTCTTTAAAAAAATATATGTATTTTTTTCTTTTTATAGAGACAGCATCTTACTCTGTTGCTCAGGTTGGTCTTGAATTCCTGGGCTCAAGCAATCTTTTTGCTTCTGCCTCTCAGTGCTGGGGTTACAGGTGTTAGCCACCGCTCCCAGCCTCATAAATCTAACTCAACCTTCCATTCTCATCTCCTCCAATCCTCTCCTCTGTGCAGATTGGTTGACAGTATATGCCATGCCTGCTTAATAGGCCACAGTCACACCTGCCCCTGGAACTTTAATTTCTATAATATTTCCCCTTCATAAAAAGTCTCTTCTATTTTTTTCCACCCTTTAATCCTACTCCTCTGTGAAGCCTTCTCTCACCCCTTCTGCCATTTTCCGAATTTCTACATCTGCGTGGTCCTTGGTCATACTTTGTCTCGTGTTGTTGCTGAACTTTTCCTGTGTGCTTATCTTGTGTTTCCACTCCAATTCCTAGGGCAGTGTTTGCAAAGCCCAACTCCACCGTGCCTCTCAGAAGACCACCTGCAGAGTAGGCACTCAGCAAATGACTATGGAATGAGTACACATTTTCAGTGGCCCGAGGTCTTAGCTTCGAATTGTTATGATGCATATGAGAAAATGTGAGAATAGTTTTGATTGCTAGTGCGTTACTCTTGAAGCATTTTCTTATCGGTAGGTGCAGGACGATTTCCTTAGAAACTGGAGCTCAGAATATTCAGATGTGCATCACCATGCTCCAGTTATCTTTCACTGCTGAACACTTGATCAAGATGTTGAGTTTCCCATTGGCCTATGGACTCTTCCAGCTGATACATGGATTTCTTATCATTGCAGGTGGGTGAACTCCCATTGGGTTGGAGATAGCTGATGGAAAATTGTTCAGCCCAACTTACTGACTTTTTTCAATCCAAACTTGCATTTGCTGCCCCTGAGATACATTTTTTAAAAGCTTGACATTTCTGGGGATGATAAGGCACATGAACAGGATAGTCTGGCACAAGCGGGAGTTTTACAGAGAAATATAAAAAACCATCTGAAAGTGAGCTTATAATTATAAACAAATATGCTTCACAAAAGCAAATCTACTATCAGAACTTAGACTTCATAACTTGTTAAGACAAGATCTCCATGAGCAATCATCAGCTCCAAAGTGACATTTGCTGCACTTAAACATTGATTTGTTATGTCTAATTAAAAGCCTTGAGGTCTCCCAAGTGCCAAGTTATTTCAGCGTTTCTGTGACTGAGACTTGTGCTGAATGGCTGTGAAATATTTTTCAAATATAAAATATTACACACATACAAATATCAAAAAATATATGTGTATGTACAGATGTGTGCAGCCAAATATACATTACTTTGGAGTCACTATTATGTAGGTTCACAGAGGGTAAATTTAAAAAATATATCTAATGCAAGAACAGAAAACCAAATACCTCACTTATAAGTGGGAGCTAAACATTGGGTGCTCATGGACATACAGACAGCCACAGTAGACACTGGGGACTACTAGAAGAGGGAGGGAGGGGCAAAGGGAGAAAAACAAACTGTTGCGTACTGTGCTAGCTACCTGGGTGATAAGATCATCTGTTTCCCAAACCTCAGCATTACATAATATACCCAAGAAACAAACATGCACATATACTTCCTGAATCTAAAATAAAAGTTGAAAAAGAAAAAATATATATATGTGTTCACATACACACATATATTTTAATCTTGGGCCATGGTAAATTTTTACTGTTGTTAGGGAACAGGTCCTAGTAAGATTCAGTGATGACTGGTATCACTGATTATATACTGATTGCTGGTTGTTATTATTATACACTGATAAGAGATATAACAATCCATATAACAATATAAGGAATACCTGGGGCTTAATTTCCCCAACAGATAAGAGAAGTCCTGTTAGAGTCAAACCCTTGGTCTCAGATCCAAGTTTTCATTCCTTTTCATGGAGAGACTGAAGGTGGCATCTTGTCTGGCTCATTCCAGCTCCAGCCCAGAGCCAGGAGAGTGTCCTATTCTTGCCAGCTGGCTGACTGACTGACTGAATGAGTGAATGAATGAATGAATGTATGCATGTGTGAGCTGTCAGCAACCTGATGAGTGAGTCTCAATCACAAATGGTCTATTCCAGACAAAAGAGCCATTCTGATACAGCAAATCCTTCTATTCCATAGCTTTCTCTCTTCCCCCCTTCTTTTTCCTGGGCGTTTATACATACATGATGCCACCCAAACAAACACCTGAAGGACTGGCAATTGTACAGTGTCACAAAGTTAGACTCTTTGTTAAAGTGATGTTTAATACTTGTATGTTTTAACACCTAGCATATCAGACGTACAAGAGGAGACTGAAGCACAAACATGGAAAAAAGAACTCAGATTGTATACAAGTCGGCCATACGAGGAAATCAACTTCTTCCAAAGAGACCAATGCTTTCTTGGAGGTGAATGAAGAAGGTGCCGTCACTCCTGGGCCACCAGAGCCAGTGGATTGCCACAGGGCTCTGGAGTCAATTGGCCACATCACTTCATGTGAATAGCAGGGACTTGCTGGCTGCACTGGCCCCCTTCGTTTTCAGCAGCCAGTTAAGACAGTGTGCAGCTGATACATGAATCTTTTTGTTAGGGCCAGTGTGACTATTTCAATCTCCAATGTTAGAATATTTATATTTCCATGTGGATTGTGAATTGTGATAGGATCACTTTTGGAGATCCCCATTTGAGGAAGTTTCTTCTGGGGGTTAACATAACGTATCAGTGAGCTGTCTTGTGTGTTCTTGTCTTCCCACGTAGCAAATAGTACCTGGCAGTAGGTAAAATCCCGCATGATGGGAACTCATCCTCATGTTGTGGGTTTTAATTTAAGAAGAGTTAGGACTCTAAGTAGAGGAGATGTCACCTCATACTGCAGGGCGACGCAGACCTATGTGACTTCTTGACTCTGGACAGGTCCTCTGGTGCACTGGAGGGTGGGAAAACACATAGCTCTTATAATAAATGGGGCACTTTTCTCCAATGATTATTATTTTTAAGAAATTGAAAATACTTTTTGATTATAGATGTAATACAAGCTTGGAGAGAATTTAAAAAACATGTAAGTTTAAACATGGAATGCCCTGTATTTTCACTCTGTAAAGACAGACACAAGTGGCTGGGGGCACTGGCTCACGCATGTAATTGCAGCATTTTGGGAGGCTGACGTGGGCAGATCATCCGAGGTCAGGAGTTCAAGACAAGCCTGGCCAACATGGTGAAACCCCATTTCTACTAAAAATGCAAAAATTAGCCAATTAGCCAGGCATTGTGGTGTACACCTGTAATCCCAGCTGCTTGGGAGGCTGTGGCAGGAAAATCACTTAAACCCAGGAAACAGAGCTTGCAGTGAGCTGAGATCACACCACTGCACTTTAGCCTGGGTGACAAAGTGAAACTCTGACTAAAAAAAAAAAAGACACATGCATATCCTTCTAAGCTGTGTATGTATACTGTATCATTTTATTTTTAAAAATTGACGTAATTCCACGTATTGTTTTGTAAGTCACTTGACATATTCTGGAACATCTTTGAGTGTCAGTCTGTGTTGACCTACCTCATTCTTTAGAATAGTAGCTACATAGAAGTATTCCATTGCAGGGAAGGACTGTAATTTGTTTAATCACCCCTTATTCATGGACACTTGAATAGCTTTCAGCTGAACAGTATTACAGTGCAGCTACTACAAACACTCTTGCCCTTAGATGCAAGTATTTCTGTAGGCTTACTTCCTATGACTTGAATTTACAAGCCAATCGCTCACCGAGATGCAGGACAAATTGCTCTCCGGCAATGTTGTACAGCAGTGCCCGAGAGGGCCTGGTTTCCCACAGCCTCACCAGTCAAATGAATGATCAATTTTGATTTGTCAAAACATCTCATTTAACATTTTATTTAAAAATTGAATGAACTAAAGCATTTTTCACAATCACGTGCCTGCTTACGTCCTTTGCCTGCTTTTCTATTGTATCTTTTCCTTTCTGATGTGCAGATTTTGACCCATAATGACAGTGACAATGTGTCCTATGTGTTGTCGACATTCTATCTACTCTTTTATATTTTGTTATTCTCTAATGTCTTTTGTGGTAAAGAGTTTTATTTTTTTAATATATTCAGCATATCAATCTTATTAAGAATTTTTTTTGGCTCTGATCTCTGTCAATGTTAACCTATTTATTTGTGTGAATTGTGAATTGTGATAGAATCTTTTTTTGAGAATGTATTTGGCCCCTTTTCAGGGAGCTCTTTTTGGGGTCTTATGCAACATATTTACTAGCGGCTGTGTGTACTTCTTGACTTCCCATAAAATAAATGGTGGCTGGCAGTAGGTAAAATCTGTCCTCTACTAGACATTATTAAAAATATTTTCCCGTGTGTTTTCTAATACTTTGGTGGAGTGAATACATACATATTTATTCTATTTTGAATTTATTGTTCATATAGCATAATTTTTTTTGTAGTTAATTATCTAAACATCGTATATTGAATCATTATTCTTTTATCTACTGATTCGAAATGCTACCTTTATCACATAACTTCCTCCATAATGTGTTTTTGTTGGGAATCTGTTTGGTTCCATTTTGTGTCTATTCTTATTTGTAAGTTTTGAAATGGGTGAGAAAGTGTTTTGAGATTTAATGTTTATAATTTTATTTTGTAAGTATTCCCAATAACTTGTGGGTTAATGTGATGACAATGATTATTGTATTTTCCCACTAATTCAGAAAGCCTTTGTAGTAGGACAAAAGGAGCCCCATTAGGTCTTAGAGTCATGGCACATTTTATATGGAAAAGAACTGTGCAGATTTATGACTCAATGGTTAATTTTCAACTGTTGCTTTACTATTTTGAGATTCCCTTTTATCCATGTGATAAATGTTTATGTAATGAAAAGCTAGTCTGTTCTATGTTCAGACACATGGGACATAAACAGTAATGAGGCAGAAAGGGTTCCTGCCCTCACGGAGTTTATAGTCTAACAGGGAAATAGATCACTGCAATGAACACAGTTAGGAGAGTTGCAAGTAACACAGATTCCCAGTTCTAAAATGAATATTATTATGAGTTTTTGTTTGTCCATTTTTATTTTTGAAGAGTCTTGCTCTGTCATTCAGGCTGGAATAGAGTGGCGTGATCTTGGCTCACTGCAACCTCTGCCTCCCAGGTTCAAGTGATTCTTCTGCTGCCTCAGCCTCCCCAGCAGCTGAAACTTATGGGCACCTGCCACCACGCCCTGCTAATTTTTGTATTTTTAGTAGAGATGAGGTGTCACCATATTGACCAGGGCTGGTCTTGAACTCCTGACCTCAGGTGATTTGCCCACCTTGGCCTCCCAAAGTGCCGAGATTATAGGCGTGAGCCACCACGTCTGGCCTCCATGAGTTTTAAAGAATCCACAAAAAATAAATATCTAAATTATTTCTCCACATAGACACCTAGCACAAAACGGTAAAATTCAATGCTGTCTGAAAGCATTAACAACATGGTCAGTATTTACAACAGTCAGGACATTCTAAGGATGAGGGACAGGTCTATGAAAGGCCATCCTTTAAGACAGAAAAAATACACATTAATGTAAGGGCTTGAAAGTACTCCTGTCAGAAGATGGCCATCTGCATAGATGGTCTGTAAACATGTTACAGAGACCTTGAAATAGTGAAGCTGTTCAGAAGGCCACATGTTATCTTTAGAACAAAAATATAACTGGAAAAAAGTCTTACTTGAGTAAATTGCATTCTAATTGATCTAAATAATCATGAGTTAATAAAAGCTGGGACCTACCTGAAACTCAGAAATGGGGCCAGAGAAATCATGTCAAGCAGAATGAGTCCATGTCTAAGAGGACAGAGGCAGCTGTGGATGGTCGGGGCAGCAGAGTGCAGCGGAGAGAACACAGGCCACATCAGGGCTGCCTGCATTCCACTTATTTTATTTATTTATTTTTTTTAGATTAGAGTTTTGTGTTTTGTTCTTGTTGCCCAGGCTGGAGTGCAATGATTCCATCTTGGCTCACTGCAACCTCCACCTCCTGGGTTCAAGCAATTTTCCAGCCTTAGCTTCCCAAGTAGCTGAGATTACAGGTGCCCACCACCATGCCTGGCTAATTTTTGTATTTTTTTTTTTTTAGTAGAGATGGGGTTTCGCCATGTTGGCCAGCCTGCTCTCGAACTTCTGACCTCAGGTGATCCATCTGTCTCAGCTTCCCAAAGTGCTGGGTTTACAGACATGAGCCATGGCGCCCGGCCTGCATTCCACTTTAATAGCTAGGATGCCTCTAGAACTGTGGGTTGAAATCAGTCGGAGCTGAAATTGAACCTTTACCTCAGTTATCTGGGGAACTTTGGGCAAGTGACAATCCCCCTGGGCTTCAGATTCCTCTCTTAAAATGGTTGATAACACATTCAATCCTGGGCACCCTGAAAAGGAGGCAAGGTGAAAACACCTGGTCCGATGCATAAGTGATCAATACATGTTACATCCCCTTCTTTTTCTTGTGTAATCGGAAATATTCCTTGTGTAGAGAATCACTTAGCCTAACCCAGTTAATGAATCATATGTAAGTCTCTTGGTAACCTTCCCATCGGCCTTGGCCTGTGCTTTACCCAGCAGGAGGAGCCCTCTCTGAATGTTCAGCCTTCTTCATTCTGCTAGAACCACCTACAGCTTCCTTGTAAGCTAATAAATCAGCAGCATGGTTTATCAGTGTCCTGAAGGTTTGCTTAGCACGACCTTTGGAGCATAGTTACATTTTGGTTGAATAAATAAAACTGTCTCTAAACCTGCAAAAACTGAAGACTACTTTTAAATACTTCCTATCCGTGAATCTCTTCAATAGTTACATATTCAGATACTTCTAAATTTGTAAGAAGATCTTGAAAGATTGACACAGTGTTCGCTACCTTGTAAGGATGGTAGAAACTGAGGCAGAACTGGAAAGGCAGACACTGCTTGCTGCTACCCTGTATCAATTGCTGTTTTTGTCCTTATGAACAGAACCAAGATTTTGTTCAGGACAACAACATATCTAGCTAAAAATAACTTTCTTGAAGCTAGAGATGGGCATGGGACAGCTTTTGCTAATAATACAGAAGCAGAAGTCTGCCCTTGTCTTCTGGGAAATTTCGCTTTCTTGCCCTAGGCACTGACTGACCCCTTCTCCCTGTCAACTCCTGTTTCTTTTTTTTTTGAGACGGAGTTTCGCTCTTGTTACCCAGGCTGGAGTGCAATGGCGCGATCTCGGCTCACTGCAACCTCCGCCTCCTGGGTTCAGGCAATTCTCCTGCCTCAGCCTCCTGAGTAGCTGGGACTACAGGCACGCGCCACCATGCCCAGCTAATTTTTTGTATTTTTAGTAGAGATGGGGTTTCACCAAGTTGACCAGGATGGTCTCGATCTCTTGACCTCGTGATCCACCTGCCTCGGTCTCCCAAAGTGCTGGGATTACAGGCTTGAGCCACTGGGCCCAGCAATTCCTGTTTCTTTTCTGGAATGTGGATGTAATAGCTGGAGCTGTGGCAGCCACTTCCAGGCCATAAAGGAAAGGCCAAGGATAATTAGAGAGCTGTTGACATTCTTGAGCTATAGAATTAACTGCCTACTTCTGAGCAAATGCCTTCTTCTGAACTTGGTTTCTTAATGAAAGAAAATAAACTCTTAAGCCCTTTAGAATTTGTGAAAGAAAAAAAACCAAAAAATCTTGGGATCCCAATTCACTATGCCAAAAGGAAAACAATGAAGCTGAAAGCTGAGCCATGCAAGAAACTGCCTTTTCTTTTGTTCCTAAGCAGATAGCTACAGATAAAGGTTAAATATCTCCACAGGTAGTTACTCTATCTTATCTTATATACTGAGTGCAAGATAAATACATAACTATTTTCCTATCTGCTCCTTTTCTTTTGCAACATGTGAGTTCAGTAATGTGACCATATCCCTCCTCTTTCCCCTCCAGCTCACTTTTCTCCTTTAAATATTGAAGCCCTCAAACTCATCTTTGGAGAAAGGCATAGACCACAGACTGTTTCTGTGATTCTGTTTAATTTCTTCCAAGCATATCCTTAACCTTGGCGAAATAAACTTTTAAATTGATTGAGACCTGTCTCATATACTTTTTGATTTACAACTTGTAAGGCTGTTTGATTGGTTTTGATTACTTGTAGTCAAATACAATCTCAAATTGATAAAGTAAAGCTTCGATTAGCTTAGAAATATTAGCCAGATCAGCCCATAATTTGTTGCATTTATCTTTACCATAACAATATTTCTGAATTATGAATTTCTGAATTATTATATTTCTGAATTATGTAAAATGGTAAGACATTCTATCATTATCAAGGTATCTACATCTGGAAGATAGCTGTAATAAGCGTTTTTAAAAAATATATTGGATTCATCACATTACATATAGATAACTAGTTTTTTATAAACCAAAAAATCTGGCAGGCTCTCTGGGACCACAGATGTAAAAGGATCTGATCTTTTTTCAACAACCATTTATTTTCTATTTACCATGATAATTCAGAATTATCTCTACTAATGACATGTACCAAAGTTTTGATTTTGAAATAAAATTATTTCTAATTCTGCAGTGCTCAGGACTATACTCACATACTCAATCTTTAGAATATATAACTTTAGTTCAGTTTTATAAATATAATCTACTACAATTTGTGCTTCCCCTTCTATAGCCTAGAGTTGTCGCTGGCCATCATTTGGCCAGTTCTTTCTGATAGAATGTGTGACAGCAATGTGTTTTGCATGTAAACCTGGCCCAGCTCATAAAATCTCTCCACAGGCAATCCTTTGTGGGGAATGGTGGCGATTCTCAACCTTGGAAGTTATGTATTGATTACAGAACTTTCATCAGCCTGGGCTTCCAAAAAATTGAGCCATAGATCTACATTGCTGGGCTGTTTACTTGTCCAGAACTGTTAAACTAGAAATACACTGTTATGTTTAAGCCATTCCATATTTGGGGTTTATATTTTCTAGCACTTAGCTAATACAAGGTGTGTTAAGAGCTGAATTGTACTTACTCATTAATTTGATATGAGTGTTTCCAAGTGCCACCACAGCTCTGTGGCCTCACCTTGCTTTCTAACCAGAGTAGTCCTAGCAAACGGCTCTTACCCTTGCATGCTGGTAGAGCCAGATCCCAGCTGAGGGCAGTAACATATTTACCATAATAAAGTTTCCATTCACAGGTCGTAAAGCTAAACCTGCATTTTCTTCCCAGTTTCCATTTCCTAGTGACATTCGTTCCAGAAAAAGCATCCTCCAGCTCCACCCTCTCCCATCTATGTTGACTTCAGATGGGAGCTAATCACCTCCAGCTGTACTAGCCCCTAGCGCTCTGCTGGCCTAGTTTCATATGCCAAAGACAGGAAAACAGGCCTCATGATTCCAACTCACTCAGAACAGAGATTTCCAAATGCCATTTAAAGCAATAGAAACCTCTTTTTCAAATGAAATCTTCAGTTACAACCCAATCTATAAAACTCTGAAGTGGGAATGGTGGTGGTAAAACTTCTCTTGCCATATTCAGAGCCAATTCTGAGGTAGGACCCAAACCTGTTATCTGGCAGAGCTTTATATATTTACTGTGGAGCTTTATATATTTATTGATACTGTCTTCTGCCTTCAAATAGCCCCAGATTCTCAGGAAAAGTCCCAGCAAATTACTGCACTTAAGATTAGAAATTCAGCTTTGCTCAGTGGCAGTACAGCCAATGAGGTTTATCTGAGGCGCAATTATTACTAATTGAAAACTTTTCCCAAAACCCCGCCGTGATGACTTGCTATACAGTTGGCAATGACAATTTTTGACAGTCTCTACGGAGACTGGTAAAAAAAAAAAAAATTCAAGTCAACTAGCTCAGAACTGATGCATTCTTACAAGGATGAGCCAATTTTCTGGGTCCTGGAATGGTGTTGAGGCAGGAGAACAGGATCTAGAGACAGGAAGCCCAAGGCCTTCTTGGAATTGGACTAAAAGGAAAACCCCACCTTTCCAGGATCAAGTAATTAGGGGCCAAATGCCCACCCCTCGCTGAACCTTTCCTCCCCTGTGTCACCAATGGGTATATCTGTAATTGGTCCATTCTGAAACCTTCATTTGCTTTATACATCACAGGCAGGATGCCTCTGATTGGTCCTGGGAAAACGTCTTTATTTGTGTAGGTTATAACCTATCAGAGGCCTCTAAAGGGTACTTAGGGGTGTTATCATGCTCTTGTAATTCAATAAAAACCTCAGGAACATTATAATCAGGGCTCTTGAGCTACTTGCTTGCTCAAGCCCACTTCCACTTTGTGGAGTATACTTTCACTTCAAAAAAATCTATGCTTTTGTGTTCCATTGCTTTGTCTGAGCATTTTGTTCAATTATTTGTTCAACATGCCAAGAACCTGGACAACTCACAGTCCAGAACTTCCACTCAGTTAGTGTCATGGCTGAATGGAGAAATCCTGTCAGAATTTAGTGAAATGAATTTAGTACCGAGAACCAGAGAACTACTAAGTTAAAGCAGCTTTGAAATCAATCTTTTTTTTCCTGTTTGGCAGAACCAAATATAAACCCTCAGGTAGTATGATACTGTTTTCTTTGATTATCCCTTGGTCAGTTGAGTACTGTGGCTGGGACTTGAAAATATTCTGATTTATATATCAGCTGGGCTCAGTAAGTGGGCACCATTCACAAAGAGGTAGAAGAAAGAAAGACTGAATTTCTGAGCTACTCTTAGGCCAATACGTGACCCCCACATCAGTACTCAGTGAAGATCTGTCAGGATTTCTGACAACACCTCCACTCTCCATGGCTGTTAAGACTGGGGCAACTAGGGAGATGGGAAGTGGTGTCTAGAGGTCCTTGTCTTCCCAGGGGCTTACGTGTTGTTGAAAAATAACACATTGAAAATGCCTAATTCGTCTGCACACAGTTTTGGCTTGTTCATGTTTTAAGGTGTGTTTTTATTTACAAAGTGAGATAATGCATTACAAACAGACGATGCAGTAACAACAGGTAACTGATAACTCCATTTTCATGAAAAAGTATATAAATATATTACAGGAAATTCTATATAGTAAACATTAGAAAGTGATACAGTAAACATTTGCTACCTTTTTTCTATGCCAATATTACTGTCATTTAAAGCTTAAATACTGGTTTCAAGTATCCCCTATAAAATAACTACTTTATTAAAATATTGGAAAACATTTTTGCTATAAACAAATTGGTACATTAAAAATAGACTCAGCATGTTTTTGTAACAATGTCTGCTATCATCAAATGCTGCCTTTCATCATCCCTACGATCTGCATTTTTAGTGTTATAAAGTTTAAATAATTATCATAGGTTAAAGTAGCTGTAAAAATACAGCATTTCAATAGTATTTATTGTCATGAAGAATACCCCTCTAAGATAGAGGAGAATATGCATGTTGTATGAACTTGCTGCTCTGTGCTCTTTATTTTGGATAGAGAGCAGGAGTCTGTTGGAGGTTAAGGAGAGAAATGGAAATGCATCCAGACAGAGGTTCTTTTCATGTCACTTCAGAAGCTGAGGCTGCTGTTTTTGCTCTTCTTCTGCTTGAAGACGCGTCAGAACATAAAGGATGACTTGATAGCAGAAAATATATTGATCCTATGGCCAAAAAAAAAAAAAAAAAAAAAGAGATAGAAGACTTTAGATGTATAATGTAAATATTATATATAAATAGCTATACCACTATCAGAAGTAATGTTTGAGGAGTTTTGAAAATATGAAAAAATTTTGTTAGAATGTTGAATGTAAGAAGCCGGGTGTAGAACTGTGTGATATTACAAAAATTATAAAAAATAGAAACCAGATTGACAAAAAGAGGAGAGAAAAAGCCTGTGGGATGGGGGTAGAACTATCCCAGAGTGCTAACTGAAGTTGTCTCTGATTGGTGGGCCACTAAAATATTTTTTGTGCTTTGATTATACTTAGTGGAAAAATAACCTTCCTATATAATTTCTTCTGGATTTACTGAGCTCATTTTGATGTTTTAAAATGTCAAAAATTTAATAGCTAAGAAGCTATTCAAAATAATTGCCTTGCCAGGTATGGTGACTCATGCCTATAATTCCACCACTTTGGAAAGCTGAAGCAGGTGGATCACTTGAGGTCAGGAGTTCAAGACCAGCCCAGCCAACATGGTGAAATGTCATCTCTACTAAAAATACAGGGTGAGCTGGACATGGTGGCAGGCACTTGTGATCCCAGCTACTCAGGAGGCTGAGGCAGGAGAATCAGGGAGGCAGAGGTTGCAGTGAACTGAGATCACGGACTGCACTCTAGCCTGGGTGACAAAGTAAGACTCCATCTCAAAAAAAAAAAAAAAGTCTTTAAGTATTTTGGAACAAAAGCATGAAAATCAAAGTTCTTTGAAAACGAACTCCTTTGATGAAATTATTTTCTATTAAATTGATGGTGCAGAGATCTGACTTTTTTTTGTTATTTGTCAAGGAACTGCATCTGAAAATAAAAAATTCACTATATATATATATATATATATATATATATATATATATATATATAATTTTTTTTTTTTTGAGACGGAGTTTCGCTTTTGTTACCCAGGCTGGAGTCCAATGGTGCGATCTCGGCTCACTGCAACCTCTGCTTCCTGGGTTCAGGCAATTCTCCTGCCTCAGCCTCCTGAGTAGCTGGGATTACAGGCATGTACCACCATGCCCAGCTAATTTTTTGTATTTTTAGTAGAGACGGGGTTTCACCATTTTGACCAGGATGGTCTCAATCTCTTAACCTCGTGATCCACCCGCTTCGGCCTCCCAAAGTGCTGGGATTACAGGCTTGAGCCACCGTGCCCGGCCCCCAAATTCACAATATATTAAATAAAAAATAATAAAACAACAATCACAGTTGAATCTCATTTAAAACAGCTGCATGTATGTATGTTTGAGCATGAAGGAGTGTGCACATGTGTTTAGGAGAAAGAATATAAGAACATTTCCTAAAAACATGAACAGCTCTTTGAGAGTAGGAATACAAGTGGTCTTTTAAGTTTCTTTTTCACTTATCTGTATTTTAACTTTTCCATTAATTTATCCTTGACTCTTTTTCTCTGACACTGCATACAACTCATTAGCAAATCCACTTCACATCATGTCCTCTTTCACTCTGTCCACACTTAGCACTCCAGCGGTAGCCACTCCTGAGTGCCACCTAATGATCTCCTTGCTTATAATCCTGCATCTTCCTCCCCAGACTGGGTGTCATTCTAACACAACAGGCAAGTAGTCCTTTAAAATGTGAGTCACTTCACTGCCACTCCATGCTACAATCCTGTGATGGCTCCCTTTTCACTCAGAGGAACGCCCAGGTCCTGGCCCATGTCACCCCCTTTCTAACATCATCTCCTTCTTTTCTGTTCCTTCCCCCATGTCCTGCCTGCCACATTGGCTGTCATCATACCTGAATACACAAGACCCTTGGACTTCTACACAGGTAGTCCCTCTGCCTGAAAGGCTCTTGTCTCCAGAGATCTAGATGACCCTCTCCTTTACCTTCAAATCTTTGCTTAAGTGTTACTTTGTCAATGGTACCACCCTGTTTAAAATTGTAACCCCAATCTGCCATGATTCCCTTTACCTATTTCATTTTTTTCTAAAGCACTTATCACTTTCAGAGATCCTATATAATTTACATATTTAATATGTTTATTATTTCCATCCTTATCACTATTCCACTAGAATACCTTTGTTATTCTATCAAGGATCTTTGTTTTATTCACTGATGTGCTCCACACACCTAGAAGACTTCCTAATCCATAGTAAGCACTCAAATAAATAGCTGTTGAATGAACAAATGAATGAATGAATTCCTAGGTGTAAAGGGCTGCTTATACCAATCAAAATGTTTTCCTTACCTAAAAAGTGTGATTGTAAATCAGCTTAATATTTAGGAGACAATTTGAATTAAAAAGGATTATGAAAGGAAAGTAGGCAAATGCTAATTTTTAAAGATAACAAATTTCCATATTTTTTAAGATGGAATTAATTTATGGATATTTGAAAACAGCTTCTACATCCCCCACTCTCCCATTATGAACAAAAAGGATTGTGGAACTCTTCGATGAAGACAGACACTCTAAAGGTACACCCTTCAAAGAACACAATTTTGTCAGTGGGTGATATAAGTCATGATTTCCTTTCAGGTAAGAGAAATGAAAATCATCAAGAGAAGATAAATGAACCCACATATTCACACTCCCTACAGAATGTCTTTTTTTTTTTTTTTGAGACGGAGTTTCGCTCTTGTTACCCAGGCTGGGGTGCAATGGCGCGATCTCGGCTCACCGCAACCTCCGCCTCTTGGGTTCAGGCAATTCTCCTGTCTCAGCCTCCTGAGTAGCGGGGATAACAGGCATGCGCCACCGTGCCCAGCTAATTTTTTGTATTTTTAGTAGAGACGGGGTTTCACCAAGTTGACCAGGATGGTCTCGATCTCTCGACCTCGTGATCCGGCCGCCTCGGCCTCCCAAAGTGCTGGGATTACAGGCTTGAGCCACCGCGCCCGGCCAGATACTGCATTTTTAAGTTAAAAGTCAACATTTTAAAAAGCTTGCAAGTATCTTAATTTTTTTCTGAATTAGTATTCATGCTTTAAAAAAAATGCCTCTCACTGCAGTAAATGTTTGGTTTTATGCTCAAACATGGGAAGCCTCAAAAAAGAAAAATGGTTTAATAGAACTTTAAAAATATTAGAATGTTTACAAAAATCCTCATTAGGAGACCCGGCCATGACTCACCTCCGTCTGAACCATTCCATGTCTTTGTAGTCTCATGCAGCGCACCAAA